CTAGTTCCAGCTCCTTGGAAGGCTGAAGTGGAAGGATCACCGGAGCCCAGCAGGTTGAGGCTGCGGTGGCCGGGAGCGGCCACTGCACTCCAGTCTGGGCGACAGATTGAGACTCCAACTCAAAAAAAAAAAAAAAAAAAAAGAAAGAAAGAATGAAGTTATATGTCTAATTAGTAAGCTGGGGGCTAACTAGATTAGAAATTTAATAAGTCTTAGGGCACATACATACATTTTCAACTTTCTATACAGTAGATAGTTGAATATTCAGCAATATTAAAGGATGATTCACCAAGAATTGTTCAACTTCATTTATTCCTGTTTTACACTTATTCACTTATTCCTTCCTCTCCATCTTCATAGGCATCTACATTTCCCCCCTCTGATCCTGGGCCTGGTCACATGACTTGATTTGGCCACTGGCTTTCAAGCAAAGGCTTGAAATGTCCTGAGTAGGGGGATGGACTTGGCTCCTATGCTCCTGCCATGGCCACAGGAGGAACAGGTCCCAGGTGGCCCACTGGTCCCAGAAGGACGAGGGACACTTAGAGCAGACCTGGAGCTAAGTTCTGCCAGACGTATAGATGTGTGAGTCAGAAAGAAATGTTAATATTTGTGAACCACTAAGTTCTGGGGTGGTTTGCTATATAGCATTTTTATAGTAACATCTGATACGGAAGATTTATGTGATTTAGTTCTTGTTAAAAATTTTTAATTATTTTTTTGAGTTGGAGCCTCACTCTGTCACCCAGGCTGACGTGCTCACAGCCACAGCAGCCTTAACCTGCTGGGTTCAGGGGATCCTTCCATTTCAGCCTTCCAAGTAGCTGGAATTACAGGAGCGTGTCACCACACCCGGCTAATTTTTTATTTATTGTAGAGACGAGGTCTTGTCATCTTGCCCAGGCTGGACTCAAACGCCTGGGCTCAGGCAGTCCTCTCGCCTCTGCTTCTCAAAGTGCTGGGATCACAGGTATGAGCTATCGCACCTGGTTGTGATTTAGTTCTTTCTAACACCTGTGTAACACGAATACACTTTGTAAATCATGTCAACAGAGATTAAGCTGAAAAGTCATTGTAACAGGAAGTGAGAATGAGACTCTTCCTGCTTCAGTTTTTATGGATGTGCCATTATGATAGAAATTGACAGCAACTCAGTGAACACATAGAAAGATGATCTAGAAACCTGTTGCCCAAAACTCTTGAATCCTATCACCCACTATGTGAACTAGAGAGAGAGGAAAACAGTCTGGGTGGTGATCTGCATTCTCTTCCTCTGCTCCCCCTCCCTGGGTCAGAGCCTCCCAGGTGACCCTTACAGTGGTGAGGGGGCTAGGGTCTGCCTCCTTCCTGAGACCCGGAGGGTGGGCAGAGAGTCCCCACAGAGCCCAGTAAGCAGACAACCATCAGTGGCCACAGTCCACATGGCATTTCCCTGTCTCCTTTCCCTCCCTATGCTCCGACCCTGGGTGGGTCAGAACCTGGCAGTGAGCAAGGATGTGAGGAAAAGTGCAGGGATAGCAGGAGAGGTAACCAGCCCCCCCATCCACCCTGGCGTCTAGCAGGAAGCAACCCTGGGCTGGGATGCGGGAAGATCTGCTGATGAGTCAAGCTGGAGATTTGATACATATCTTGGACATGATGTTCTAGTGACCAAGTCAAGTTGAGACACAGTGTCCTTTGAGCAGACAGTTACTAAAAGAGAGCAGAAAGGCCAACGCACTTGCCAGAGAATTTGTTTGGGGCTGGGGGAGATGGCTCTTGTGGTTGCGTGAATATAGTATGAGGTGATGTCAATGAGTGAGCAGTAAGTTAACTACGTTTTTTTCTTAAAGTACATTGTATTTATTCTCCATAAAAATCTCAATTTGAGCCGGGCTTGGTGGCTCAGCCTGTAATCCCGCACCTTTGGGAGGCTGAGGTGAGTGGATTGCCTGAGCCCACGGGTTTGAGACCCGCCTGGGCAGTGAGACCTCATCTCTACAATAAATCAA